ACATTTCAAAATTGTTTGCCCAGTTTGGAGATTTATTCAAGCCCTTTGTTTTTTTTCTTCAGTTACTAGCCATTTTTTTGAGACAGTGTCTCACTCTGTTGCCCTGGCTAGAGTGCAGTGGAATCATCATAATATGGTAATAGCTCACTGCAGCCTCAAACTCTTGGGCTGGAGCGATCCTCCTGCCTTTGCTTCCCAAGCAGCTGGGACTAAAGGCACATGCCACCACGCCCAGCTAATTTTTCTATTTTTGGGGGGGGCGGGGTGGGGACAGTTACAAGCCTTTTTAAAGGTGTCTGATTAGCATTTTGCTCCTTGTTAGCATTTTCTCTGCAGATGTTTATGGAGAGAAAGTTGAAATTGAGAAGATGCATTTCTGGTCCTTTTTTTTTTTTTTGGTTGTTACTTGGCCACTGCTTTCTTTGGTTACCACCATAGGTAATTGACTATTGATTGTATTTTTGTTAATAATCTTTTGCTAGTACCATCTGAAGGAGTTTCTTGTTTTTATAAACTTTAAAGTTTAAATTAAATGTATTAAAGTATATTTTGTATGGTTTGCTAAAACATTGTCTTGAATATAAGTAGCTGTTATAAAGCCTATTTTTAAACATGTAAGTCTGAAAATACAGTAAATTATAAGACGAAAAGCAAGTTTCCTTCATCCCCTTACCCATCCTGAATTCGTCTTCCCTTGAAAACCACTGATAAATTTCTTGGGTATCGTAGAAAAAAACTGTATGCCTTTATGTTTAAAAAAAAATAAAATCATGGTAGAGAGTGTTCTTGTGGTTTAAGCACTAAACTTTGTATCTTGGAGTGCTTTCTATTTCAGACATACAGATCTACTTCATGTACAGATCTTTACTGTGTTCTTTTTGTAATGTGCCTAGTCTTTCTGTGAATGTGCCAGAATTTATTTAACTAGTTGATGGGATGAGTTTCCATGTTTTTGTTATTGTAACACAGTGCCAGTGAACATTCTTATACGTATGCTTTGGTGAACTTTCGTGAATAACCTTACTCCCAGCAGCCTTAAAAAAAAAACCAACCAACAAGTGTTTCACTTCTCTGAGTTATCATTTATCATGTTAAACATTTTCATGATTGCTCTATTAGTTTTAATAGTTTTAGAGATTGTTAGGCTGGATGTTTTCTTCTTCTGAAGTAGTCCTGTGAAGTAATTTTACACTATTAAGGAAGCACAGGTTCTTTGTATTGCACATTGAATATTAGATTAATAAAAGCTCAATGTTGGCTGGGCGCGGTGGCTCACACTTGTAATCCCAGCACTCTGGGAGGCCGAGGTGGGCAGATTGCTCAAGGTCAGGTCAGGAGTTCGAAACCAGCCTGAGCAAGAGCGAGACCCCGTCTCTACTATAAGTAGAAAGAAATTAACTGGCCAACTAATATGTATAGAAAAAATGAGCCGGGCATGGTGGTGCATGCCTGTAGTCCCAGCTACATGGGAGGCTGAGGCAGGAGGATTGCTTGAGTCCAGGAGATTGAGGTTGCTGTGAGCTAGGCTGACGCCATGGCACTCACTCTAGCCTGGGCAACAAACCGTGACTCTGTCTCAAAAAAAAAAAAGAAAAGCTCAATGTTGGCTTCATGAGGCTGCTACCTGTACAGTCACCAGGGTCCCTTGCTTAATGATCAGTTGTTGCAGCCTTGATATTAATCATTTTTTAATTTTTTGATATTAATCATTTTTGAAGTAGGAGCCCACAGTATCATTCTGCACTGGGCTCCGCAAATTAAGTAGCCAGTTCTGTAAAGACTTTAAAAACCAGGCAAGGGGCCGGTCGTGGTGGCTCATGCCTATAATACTAGCACTTTGGAAGGCCGAGTCAGGAGGATTGGTTGAGCTCAGGAGTTCAAGACCAGCCTGAGCAAAAGTGAGACCCCATCTCTACTATAAATAGAAAGAAATTAGCCAAACAACTAAAAACAGAAAAAAATTAGCCGGGCACAGTGGCACATGCCTGTAGTTCCAGCTACTTGGGAGGCTGAGATAGGAGGATGGCTTGAGCCCAGGAGTTTGAGGTTGCTGTGAGCTAGGCTGACACCACTGCACTGTAGCCTGGGCAATAGAGTGAGACTCTGTCTCAAAAAAAAAAAAAAAAACAGGCCAGGTGTAGTGGCTCACACCTGTAATCCCAGCAATGTGGGAAGCCAAGAAGGGAGGGTCTCTCAAGGCCAGGAGTTAGAAACCAGCCTGGGCAACATAGTGATACCCCATCTCTACCAAAAATTTTAAAAATTAGCCAGTTGTGATGGTGTCACGAGCCTGTAGCTCTAGTTTCTTGGGAGGCTGAGCCAGCAAGATCGCTTGAGCTCCAGGGTTTCGAGGTAGTGAACTGTGATTGTGCCATTGTACTCCAGTCTGGGTGACATAAGAGTTGAGACCATCTCTCAAAAAACAAAAACAAAACCCCCAACCCCATCCTCTCACCTCCTAATCTTGTTCCCTTTGAGTGACTACTACTAATAATTTAGTTTATCTTGGGAACTTTATAGAATGTATGTATAAATGATAAAGCACTTACCATGCTTGAGTCTTTAAAAATAAAACAACTTAATTTGAAATTCATGCAAATTCAGTGTATATTTTCTTGAAAACTCCATAATGGATCAAGAATGTTACAGACTTTAGAATTAAGAAAATAAAAAGGCTCTAAAAAACTTAGCCATAATAAGTTAGTACTCAACTACAGTTTTAGGTTTAAGTATTGTTTGTTTTTGAAAATGGGCTTAACTTGAAGCTTTAGGGAAACAGCTTAAGTTTCAGAGTGTTAAGATATCTATCTCTGATGATATTTCACTTTCTAAAATGAGGTAAAACAAACACTAAGGTAAGTCAGGTGTGAAAACAAAGTTTATTCATCAATCAGTGTTAATTGAACAGGAGATTCACTAGGATTATTTGGTGCTTTATTTAATTAAAAAGTGGTCAGAATTGATGAAGTGGAAGGGTGAAGGATTCTTAGAAGTAGCTACAGAAAATGGGAGAATGAGCTAACACTGGTTAACATTTCCAACCTGCCAGGCATCATATTAAGGTCCTTAGTCAAACCATTTTATTTAAGCCTCCTAACCACCCTTTGAGAGAGTTGGTATTATTGTCATTTTACAAATGAGGAAGCTACAACTCAGAGGTCTCAGAAGACCTCCCTAAGGTCACAGGTAATATATGGCAGAATAGGAGCCCAGATTTCCATCCTTACAACTTAAAGTTCATGTTCTTTCCACTGCCCTGCTCTACCTAGGGATTTATTCATTCACAAAATAATTGTTGACTTCACTTGACCAGCCTAAAAAAAATAATAATAATTTTGACTGCCTAAAGTGTGCTAGGCACAGATGCCAAGATGGATTAGATATGCAGGAGATTTATTGAGGACTAGCCTGGGAAGGGAGAAGCAGGTGGAGTGGGAGTATGTAGGAAGAGCCTTCCAATTTCTGCTCTGGTCTGATCCCTGTGAGAGGAGAGAGGGAAGGAAGGGTCGAGTAGGAGCTCCCACAAATCACAGTATGGTTTTGACAAAGACTTGACCAAGCTGATAGGGAGCCCCCATGCCAGACTTGTGCATCCTGCATCAGACAGGAGCCTGGGTCTAGTATCCGCTTCTCCTTCAGCCATTGGCTCAGGGCAGCCTGAGGGAAGCATGGCTTGGTGTCATTGCTGTGGTGGCTCTGAACGTGCAAGCAACAAGACACTGTCAACTCGGCTCTGCAGCATCTTCTCTCAAAGGGTGATCTGAGCAGATCACCTCGTGACTGCTGTACATGGTGCTGTTCTGTCCTGGTGGGGATTGGAGGAAAGACTGATAATACAAATAAGTAGATACATAGATCAAGGGAAAATTAGTGCTCAGGGGAAAAACAGCAGGATATAGAATGTTGTGTTGTATAGAGTGAATGTTAAAAGGCTGCTAAGATGACAATTGCTCAGAGAGACCTGAAAGAGTAAGGGAGAAAGATGTGGGATGTCTGAAGAGCAGAGCATTTCAGGAAGGGAGGAGCAAGTGAAAGACCCTGATTCTGGATACATTAAGGAGGTGGAACCAAGTTTGCTAATGGATTAGATGTGGGATGAGAGAAGGAGCGATGAAAGCCTGGAGTTGCCCTTGACTAACATTAGGTAAGTCATGGCAAAGGTGAAGGTGGTAAGAATCCAGAGTTGTGTTGTTTTGTTTTAGGCATGTTGTAAGTTTGAGATGCCAGTTAGGCACACCTAATTGTCTAGTAGCTTAGTGGCATTAAAATTTTGGAATTCAGGGGAGAGAAGCAAGGTAGAGAGAAAATTTGGAGCAGTCACTACCTAGATTGTGTTTAGAATCATGGGACTAGGGGAGGTCAGCTAGCGTTGTGCTATGAGGCAGTCACAAGCCACGTAATGTGGCTAGTCTGAATTGAAATGTGCTATGTCAAATAGACACCAGATTTCAAAGACTTAGTATGGAAAAAGAGAATGTAAAATATCTCATTAATAATCGTTTATTTTGATTATATTTGGAGTGATATTATTTTGGATATAGTGAGTTAAATCAAATATATTAAAATTAATTTCACCTGTTCTATTTTTTTTTAAACCTTTTTTTTTTTTTTTTTTTGAGACAGAGTCTCACTTTGTTGCCCAGGCTAGAGTGAGTGCATGGCATCAGCCTAGCTCACAGCACCTCAACTCCTGGGCTCAAGCAATCCTCCTGCCTCAGCTCCTGAGTAGCTGGACTACAGGCATGTGGCCACCATGGCCCGGCTATTTTTTTATATATATTTTTAGTTGGTCAATTAATTTCTTTCCATTTTTGGTAGAGATGGGGTCTCACCTCAGGCTGGTTTTGAACTCCTGACCTAGAGCAATCTGCCTGCCTCCCAGAGTGCTAGGATTACAGGCGTGAGTGTTTTTAAGAGACAGTGTCTTGCTCTTGCTCAGGCTGGTCTTGAACCCCTGACCTCAAGCAATCCTCCCAGCTTGGCCTTCCGGAGTGCTAGGATTACAGTAGTGAGCCACTGTGCCTGGTCCCTGGTTTTTAAAATATGGCTACTAGAAAATTTTAAATTATGTATGTATGGCTCAAATTATTTTGCTCTTTGAGGCCGTAGTGGAGGAAGTGAATGTGGATAGAGAAGTCCAAGGACAGTGTGGAGAGCTGGGAAGAGGAGGAGCAGCCGGCAGGGCTGGAGAGGGCATGGCTGTAGGTCGGGGTGTGAATGATGATAGGTGTAGCCTGTGCCTAAGTGAGCCACACTAAAATTTGTCTAGAACTTGGGTAAAAGGAAGTATTGCAGAGAAACTAGGCCTAATATGTATTATATGGGATTGGTTATTTGTAGAAGTGAAAGAATCTTGGAAATGGTCTATAGGATTGGGATATTTTCCTATACTGTTTTTTTGTTTGTTTTTAAGTGAGTCTCATGCAACCTGTTCAAAGAAGGCTCTAATGTAGCCTGAGTAATCAATCATGGCAATAGAAAAGAAAGCAGATATTTATAAGATTTGATATAGTTAATGTAGGAAGGTGACTCTTATGACCCTTAAAGCTTTGGTCATGGAGCTTTCTTTGATCTTACCATCTTCACTTGGTAAAACGACCATAAGACTATCTCAGAGACTTAAGAATTCTTTTTTTCATGTGTCTGGTCTTTGCTTTGAGATTAGCTGTTTGGCTTTCATTTTACATGTGCTCTATTTCTCTGTTGATGTGGTCTGATTTTATATTTGAAAATTTGGAGGAAAAGACCTTGCTTGTTATACTTGTTTGGATTCTTTAAATGAATTAAGCAGAACAGGAAGAAATATTCTTTAGGAAAATTTGGGGCAGTTTTTAATCACTTATGGAAGATGCAGAGCCAGGTTGGTGCCTAACCCGTGTAAACAGTTAAGCTAGGGGGTAATGGCAAGAGCCAGCAGGAAGGGCAGGCAGGCTCATGAGGGTTTGTTTAGTGCAGCAACCGTTTACCTACTGCTTTTATGTGGAGTGTGGTAGTACAAACATAAATATAAACAGAGTTCTTGATAATTTGATCATAGGATGATCTGTATTTTTCCTAGTTTAGCGAGAATTAAATTCATCAGCTGGCCATTGAACCACGATGTGGGATTGTCACCAGTCTTCCAAATCTTGACGTTACAGACCTGCTATGTAAGTTCAGTAGAACTTTCTGTGATAATGGAAATGTTCACTATCTGCTCTTTTCTGGATCCACTGGCCATGTGGGGCTGTTAATACTTGAAATGTAGCTAGTGCCATTGAATAACTGAATTTTAAATTAAATTAAATTTTAGTTAATTTAAATTTACGTAGCCACTGGTGGGCTACCATACTCATTGGCTAGTTGCAGTTCTAGACATTTTGAAGGATTTATAGTATTCTCTGAACAGAAGTGCATTGAAAGTACATGGTGGTTGTAAGAGAATCAAAAGGTGCCACAACTATAGGTGGCTAACGTGCCTAGGACTTTGATTACATGTACTTAGACTATGTAGGGTTTCCGTAGAGTGGAAACTGGATTCTGATTTATTTGCATTGTAAAAGACTGAGAGCCTCTGAGAATGATCATTTTGTGCATGTGCTGAAATCGCATTGTCTTAGCTTTAAAGTTACTTGTGAACATGACATTACCCTCCAGATTAAGTTTGTGTCCCCCACTTGTCTTTTTTTTTTTTTTTTTTTTTTTTTTTTTTTGAGACAGAGTCTCACTTTGTTGCCCAGGCTAAGAGTGAGTGCCGTGGCGTCAGCCTAGCTCACAGCAACCTCAATCTCCTGGGCTCAAGCAATACCACTGCCTCAGCCTCCCGAGTAGCTGGGACTACAGGCATGCACCACCATGCCCAGCTAATTTT